GACCTCAAGTGATCCCTTCACCTTGGCCTCCCAAAGTGCTGAGATTACAGGCCTGAACCACTGTGCCTGGCAACACATTTTTTTAATGGTCATTTCATCTTGGGGAATGAATAAATAAGTAAATAAGTCTCAGAGGGATGACTGGTGGCCCCTGCGGGAAACAGGAAGAGTTAGTGCATAAGGCTGGTTGCAGTGGCTCACACCTGTAATCCCAGCTCTTTGGGAGGCCAAGGCGGGTGGATCACCTGAGGTCGGGAGTTCGAGACCAGCCTGACCAACATGGAGGAAACCCCATCTCTACTAAAAAAAAAAAAAAAGAAAAGAAAATTAGCTGGGCATCGTTGTGGGTTCCTGTAATCCCAGCTACTTGGGAGGCTGAGGCAGGAGAATCACTTGAACCTGGGAGTTGGAGGTTGCGGTGAGCTGAGATCACGCCATTGCATTCCAGCCTGGGCAAAAAGAGTGAAACTCCGTCTCAAAAAAAAAAAAAAAAAAAAGAAAATAGTTTATGCGTGATTGCTTTGCAGGTTGCTCTGTCTCTGTGAAGAAGTCAGGAGCTCTGAAATAGAGAAACTTCTGCCTTCAGCAAAGGAGACACCTCTGGTCACCTCACCACCCTTAGGCGCTGCTTCCAGGGTTGTGGGATGTAGTCTCTAGCTTTTCAGTAAATGTTAACTCTTGTTGCTCCCATTTTACAGGTAAGGAAACTGAGGCCAAGTGAAGTGACATAGCTTCTCCCACACCACACAGATGGGGCAGAGCCGACACTGCCCTCCCCCAGGGCCTGGGCTGATAAGCACCATGGTGGTCAGTGTCCTCTGAAGGATAACAGTCCTTCAGAGGATGCCTGAATGTCCTCATCCTGTCCATCAGCCTCCGAGGTGAAGGTGGAAGTGAGGCCAGAGGGGCAGCACTGCACCAAGTGAGGGCGCAAAGAAGAGATCGTGACTTGGGCTGTCACCTTTACCGCCACATGAACATTGGAGCAGGCGCTTTGTTCCTTCAAAGAGCCTTAAAAGAGCAAGGCGTTGGAGGAGGGTGGCAAGGCACCCACAGAGAGACTGCCTGGGCACGTGGGTGTGGTCGCTGTTCATTCAATTTCGCTTTTTCTAAAGAAGTAGAACATAGTTAAAACTGCAAAGCATAATATCTAACTACTGCTTACACTGGCTTACAAAAGTCATGGAATTTAGGCCAAGAGTGAAAGAAGGTTGACCGGACGTCATGGCTCACGCCTGTAATCCCAGCACCTTTGGGAGGCCGTGGTGGGTGGATCACTTGAGGCCAGGAGTTCAAGGGCAGCCTGGCCAACATGGGGAAACCCCATCTCTACTGAAAATACAAAAGTTATCTGGGCGTGGTGGTGGGCACCTGTAATTCCAGCTACTTGGGAGGCTGAGGCATGAGAATTGCTCGAACCCGGGAGGTGGAGGTTGCAGTGAGCCGAGATTGTGCTAGTGCATTCCAGCCTGGGCAACACAGCGAGACGTCGTATCAAAAAAAAAAAAAAAGAAAAAGAAAAAAGAAGGCAAATATCTATACAGTTGGGTTCCTCTCCATGAAGTCCACTAAGCATTGACTGTCCACAGTCGCTATGAAATCTACCAGCAGTTCTCTCCCCAACTCTCCTCTGTTGTGGCCCTCCCTTCTCTCCCCTCCACCCACCAGCTAGGGCAGAGAAATCCTCGGAGGCCTCTCAGGACCCACACACAACAGTGAGTACTAGGCTTAGTGTTGGCTTCAGGACAGCTTAAAATTAACACCCCCACCCCTCCAGGCTGCTGTTCTACAGCCTTTGATTTCCTCTGGACATGATTTAGAGTTGGGGGGGGTGCACTGTGCTCTAGGAAGGTTGATTATAATGTGAGGTGCTCCCCACCTTCCAGGAATTATCTCATAGATGAACCACTTTTATTGAGGGGAACAAGGCCTTAAGGCAGGCTGGGTGAAAAGAGGTTCAGAAGTTCGAGACCAGCCTGATCGATATGTTGAAACCCCGTCTCTACTAAAAATGCAAAAATTTGCTGGGTTGTGGTGGCGTACATTTGTAGGCTACTCAGGAGGCTGAGGCAGGAGAATTGCGTGGACCTGGGAGGTGGAGGTTGCAGTGAGCCGAGATATGCCACTGTAATCTAGCCTGGGCAACAGAGGGAGACCCTGTCTCAAAAAAACAAAAAAGAAAGAAAGAAAAGAAGGTGGTAGATACACTCTATGGAGGAGAAATTCCCACCCATCTACTGTGTTTTTTGTTTTGTTTTGTTTTGGAGAGACAGGGTCTTACTCTGTCTCCCAGGCTGGAGTGCAGTAGTGTATTCATGGCACACTGCAGCCGCAGCTTCCTGGGATCAAGTGATTCTCCTGCCTCAGCCATCAGAGTAGCAAAGACTACAGGTGCATGCCACCATGCACTGGCTAATTAACAACAACAAAAAAAAACTGGCCAGGCACAGCGCCTCATGCCTGTAATCCCAAAACCTTGGGAGGCCAAGGCAGGCGTATCACTTGAGGTCAGGACTTCAAGATCAGCCTGGCCAACATGGTGAAACCCTGTCTCTACTAAAACTACAAAAATGAGCCAGGCATGGTGTCATGTGCCTGTAATCCCAACTACTCGGGAGGCTGAGGCAGGAAAATCATTTGAACCTGGGAGGCAGAATTTGCAGTGAGTCGAGATCATGCCACTGCACTCCAGCCTGGGCAACAGAGTAAGACTCTGTCTCAAAAAAAAAAAAAAAAAAAATTGTAGAGATGGAATCTCCCTTTGCTACCCAGGCTGGTCTTGAACTCTTGGGTTTAAGTGATCCTTCTGTCTCCGCCTTCCAAAGTGCTGGGACTACAGGCACGAGCCACCATGCCCAGCCATCCACCTGCTTCTTATGTAAACCTCCACGTGCGCCTGCTAGTTCCCTTGTTCCTGGCATGGGTAAAATAAACAGGAGGTGGCTTTTTTTTTTTTAATTGGCTTAAACAACAGAAATTTATTTCCCACAGTTCTGGAAGCTGGAAGTCTGCGATCAAGTGTTGGCAGGATGGGTTTCTTCAGAGGCCCCTCTCCTCAGCTTGTAGATTGCGGTCTCCTGCCAGTGTCTTCACGTGGTTTACCCACTGTGTGTTTCTGTGTCCAGATTTCCTCTTACAAGGATTTCGGTCATATTGGATTAGGGCCCACCCTCATGACCTCATTTTTTTTTATTGCATTTTAGGTTTTGGGGTACATGTGAAGAACATGCAAGATTGTTGCATAGGTACACACATAGCAGTGTGATTTGCTGCCTTCCTCCCCTTCACCTATATATGGCATTTCTCCCCATGCTATCTCTCCCCAACTCCCCACCCCCCGCTGTCCCTCCCCTATTTCCCCTCTACAGACCCCAGTGTGTGATGCTCTCCTCCCTGTGTCCATGTGTTCTCATTGTTCAACACCCACCTATGAGTGAGAACATGCGGTGTTTGATCTTCTGCTCTTCTGTCAGTTTGCTGAGAATGATGCTTTCCAGGTTCATCCATGTCCCTACAAAGGACACGAACTCATCGTTTTTGATGGCTGCATAATATTCCATGGTGTATATGTGCCACATTTTCCCTGTCCAGTCTATCATCGATGGGCATTTGGGTTGGTTCCAGGTCTTTGCTATTGTAAACAGTGCTGCAATGAACATTCATGTGCACGTGTCCTTATAGTAGAATGATTTATAATCCTTTGGATATATACCCAGTAATGGGATTGCTGGGTCAAATGGAATTTCTATTTCTAGGTCCTTGAGGAATCGCCACACTGTCTTCCACAATGGTTGAACAAATTTACACTCCCACCAACAGTGTAAAAGTGTTCCTATTTCTCCACATCCTCTCCAGCATCTGTTGTCTCCAGATTTTTTAATGATCGCCATTCTAACTGGCGTGAGATGGTATCTCAATGTTGTTTTGATTTGCATTTCTCTGATGACCAGTGATGATGAGCATTTTTTCATATGTTTGTTGGCCTCATGTATGTCTTCTTTTGTAAAGTGTCTGTTCATATCCTTCACCCACTTTTAAATGGGTTTGTTTGTTTTTTTCTTATAAATCTGTTTTAGTTCTTTGTAGATTTTGGATATCAGCCCTTTGTCAGATGGCTAGACTGCAAAAATTTTTTCCCACCCTGTTGGTTGCCGATTCACTCTAATGACTGTTTCTTTTGCTGTGCAGAAGCTGTGGAGTTTGATTAGGTCCCATTTGTCTATTTTGGCTTTTGTTGCCAGTGCTTTTGGTGTTTTGATCATGAAGTCCTTGCCTATGCCTATGTCCTGAATGGTTTTGCCTAGATTTTCTTCTAGGGTTTTTATGGTGTTAGGTCTTATGTTTAAGTCTTTAATCCATCTGGAGTTAATTTTAGTGTAAGGTGTCAGGAAGGGGTCCAGTTTCTGCTTTCTGCACATGGCTAGCCAGTTTTCCTAACACCATTTATTAAACAGGGAATTCTTTCCCCATTGCTTGTTTTTGTCAGGTTTGTCAAAGATTGGATGGTTGTAGATGTGTGGGGTTGCCTCCCAGGCCTCTGTTCTGTTCCATTGGTCTATATCTGTTTTGGTAGGAGGTGACTTTTTAAAAACACTTCCACTTCCTGGAAGCTGCTAGATCCTTCTGCCGTCAAATCTTGCTGGCTTCTTTCATTGTCTCTAAGCACTGCCCAGCCAATGCAGAGAGACCTGCACATTCAAGTCTAGCCCAGGCCCGAGATCCTCCTAGTGTTTCACAGAGGTCAACATGAGATTTCCTTCCAGGGAGGCTGAATGATGGGCAGCGAGTTGTGCTCCCCCTCGGGGCCTCAGTTTCCCTGTTGGGATGAGGAGGGGGTGGGCATGAACTGTCAGAGCCGCCTGGGACTGACATTCTGCTCTTCCAAGCTATGGACCCAGGTCCCTTCTCTGCCCTGGCATCACCGTTTCCTGGCTTCCGTGGAGCAGGTGGAGATGTGGTGGCTGTGGGTGTGCTCAGCTGTCTGCTTTCATCCCCAACAGGACTTGATCTTTGACCTGGGTGACCCTGTGAGGTGGGAGTACATGCTCCTGGGGACAGATAAGCCTGTGCTGTCCTTGACTGAAGATTACAGTGGGATCAACGATGAGGATGACGTGGAAAATCTCGTGAGTCCCAGCAGCTCGAGAACACAGGGAATGTGTGTGAAGGCTTCGGGGAGCCTGACAAGCAACCCCAGCAGCATGTGTGCAGGGTGGGGGACCGCCGAGGTAGACCAATGATCAGTTCCTCAAAGCAGGAAGGCTGGAGCAATGCCCTCATTTTACAGATGGACACGTTGAGGCCCGGAAGGCCAGTAACCTGCCCAGGACCTCCCAGTGGATTAGTGAAGGGATAGGAGTTGAAGTCAGGTCTTCTGCCCCTGACGTGGTCCACCTTGTTCAGGAGCTGCCCTGCTCCTTTGGAAAGCATGCCCCTTGCCAGCCTGGGCAACATAGTAGGACCTGTTGCTACAAAAAATATTTTTTTTAATTAGCTTGCTGTGATGGCATGCACCTGTAGTCCCAGCTACTTGGGAGGCTGAGGCAGGAGGATCGCTTGAGCCTGGGAGGTCAAGGCTGCAGTGAGCCATGATCATGCCACTGCATTCCAGCCTGGGCAACCCCATCCCCCCCAAAATAAATAAGAATAAATTTAGAAAAAGAAAGTATCCCCTTGGAGCAGGGTCATAAGACCATCTCTGCAACCCCCTGGAAGCCTCAGAGCTGGTCATGCTCACTTCCATCCCAGGTAGCCAGCATGAGCCCCACACACTGCCAGGCCTTTCTTGTCTGTTCTGTCAGTTCCTCTGAAATTCTTCCCCACATAACCAGCCTCCCTTCTCTGAACTCAGTTTCATCCTTTATGTGAAATGGAGGCAAAAGGGTCATAATTGTATTCATAGTAATTCTAATAGGTGCATTAGTCTGTCATCACAAAGCACCACAGATGGGGGGATGCTTACACAACAGAAATGAATTTTCTTATAGTTCTGGAGGCTGGAAGTCCAAGATGAAGGTTTTGGTAGGGTTGGTTCCTTCTGAGCCCTCTGTCTTTGGCTTATAGACGACTCACTTCTCCCTGTCTTCATATTGTCTTCCCTCTGTACAAATCTGTGTCCTAGTCTATTCTTACAAGGATACCAGTTATATATTTATCTCTATATATATATATATATATATATATATATATTTTTTGAGACAGGGTCTCCTCCATTTCCCAGGCTAGAGTGCAGTGGCACAATCACAGGTCACTGCAAACCTTGAACTCCTGGGCTCAAGTGATCCTCCCACTTCAGCCTCTTGAGTAGCTGGAACTACAGACACACACTGCCACTCTTGGCTAATCTTTGTTTTTCATGGAGACACAGTCTTGCTATGTTACCCAGGCTGATCTCGAACTCAAGAGATCCCCTTGCCTTGGCCTCCCAAAGTGTTGATATTACAGGCATGAGCCACCATGCCCAGCCAACACCAGTCATATTGGATTAGGGCCCACTCTAATGAACTCATTTTACCGTAGTCACCTCTCTAAAGACTCTGTCTTTAAATACAGTCATTCAGACAGCAAGTGATCAAGACAACAACAACAACAAAAGAAAAAATAAGAAAAATAAATAAAACAGTCACTTTCAGGGTTTAGGACTTCAATCTATGAATTTTAGGGGGACAACATTCACCTGTAGCAAAAGGTAGCACTCATATGGTCCTTACTAAGTATTGGGCTCCATTGTGTCTACTTAACCTCAAGTAACTCGTTTAAATCCCCACAGCCACCTGGTGAGGTGGGCACTGGTATTGCCACCCATGATTAGTATTATCCCATTTGACCAATGGGGAGACTTACACCCGAGGAGTTACGTCACTTACCCAAAGCAACACAGCTGGTAAGTGACAGAGCTGGGATTTGAACCTACACAGTCTGGCTCCACAGTCTGGGTTCTCAACAGTGACTCTGTTCTACCTCCTGGGGCTGCTAAAGGGTGTTAAATGTTCCCAGCGCCCTCATCTCCAGAGACGGGGGAAATCTCCTGTGCAGTAAATCCGGGCATAGGCGCCCCCTGCTGGCCGTGGGGGTGTGGACCAGCCAGGGCCTTGGGAGCCCAGCCTTAGCGCACACATAGCTGATGATCAAACAGTTCCAGTCACAGAGTCCTGGTCCTTCCCTGCCCAATAGCCCCCGTTGCAGCAAAGATGGACAGAGGGCAGTCCGAAGAGTCAGAGACCAGTCATGGACCCCCAGGAAAAACCAGAACCCCGGTGACAGCCCACTCACCTGGCCACCTTAGAGATTTTTGACAATGCTAACTGCTGACTGCTCACCCATTTTTGTCCCCTGCAAAACGTCACAATGAGATAAGCAGGTGTCAGAGGTATGAGCAATATTTGTGGGAGAAAAGTTTTAAGTCGAGAGAGTCTTGTCCAAGTTTCTGTGATTATCTAGTTTGAGCACCATTTGTCTAGATCAGGCCTTATTTCACAAATGGGGAAATTAAGTATCAGAGAGGAAATAGTAATACGTCAGGCACGGCAGCTCACGCCTGTAATCACAACACTTGGGAGGCCGAAGTCAGTGTATCTTTTGAGGTCAGGAGTTCGAGACCAGCCTGGGCAACATGGTGAGACCCCATCTCTACTAAAAATACAAAAATTAGCTGGGTGTGGTGGTGCATGCCTGTAATCCCAGTTACACAGGAGGCTGAGGCAGGAGAATCGCTTGAACCTGGGAGAAGGAAGTTGCAGTGAGCTGAGATCAAGCCACTGCACTCCAGCCTGGGTAACAGAACGTCTCCATCTCAAATAATAATAATAATAAGTCAGGCATGGTGGCTCACAACTGTAATTCCAACACTTTGGGAGGCCGAGGTGGGTGGATCACGAGGTCAAGAGTTCGAGACCAGCCTGGCCAATATGGTGAAATCCTGTCTCCACTAACAATACAAAAATTAGCCGGGCATGGTGGTGCACACCTGTAGTCCCAGCTACTCAGGAGGCTGAGGCAGGAGAATCACTTGAACCGGGGAGGCAGAGGTTTCAGTGAGCCAAGATCACACCACTGCACTCCAGTCTGGGCAACAGAGCAAGACTCCATCTCAAAATAATAATAATGATGATGACGATGATGATGATGATGTCAGCCAGGCAGAGTCCCAAGGCCTTTACAGACACTATATCATTTAATCCTCCTAAAAGGTCCAGTTTACAGTTAAGGAAACTGAGGCTTAAAGCTGTTAAAGGACTTGCTCGGGCCTTAGCTGGTCTTGGAGAGAGGGTGGGGCTTGGGTGCCCTGACTCCAGAAACACCTCTCTAATAACGAAGGGCCTGCAGCTAGGGCAGGGCAGACCCGGCAGGCAGGTACAGGAACGGCTCCCTGCCCAGAGCCGAGTCCCCCTCTTCCACGTCACGGGTGGTGCTCATGACCTCTAATTCCCCTGGGGAGGCCAATGGATCACCTTGGCTTGGCTCTGTGGGCAGAGAGAGAGCTTTGACCATAACTTCTGCTTCAAGGCCCTGACCAGCACCACCTCCCCACCCCCTTCTCTCCCATCAGGACAAGGAGGATGAGGATAAGAGCTTCGACATGCCCCACTCGTGGGTGGAGCAGATTGAGATCTCCCCGGAAGGTATTTGCTATTTGTGTGTTCACTTATCCTCTCCAGACCCAGTTCCTGGGCCTCCAGAGAGGTCTGCAGCAGCAGCGAGGGAGAGACGGCAGTGACGCAGGGGGGTGTGCAGCAGCGGAGGGGGGGGGTGTGCAGCAGGGGGGGCTGTGCAGCAGCGAGGGGGAGACAGCAGTGAGGCAGGAGTGTGTGCAACAGCAGGGGTGGTGCAGCATCAAGGCGGGGGACACAGCAGGAATGCCCTACCCTATATTTCTTCCCTTCCCACCTTCAGCTGCACCCTGCCTCCCTCCTCCCTTCCTGCCACACACAGTCAGCTCTGTGACCCCGAGGGCTGACACCAGTCTGGCACACAGGGCAGTGGGGCTCAGTGAGCCTGTGTGGGATGATGGCATGTGGGCAGCAAGGCCTGGGAACCCAGCCTGTTCTCTTCTCACACTCTTCTACCCAGAGGAGGCCATGGGCAGTGCCCAGATGGTGCAGGGGGTCTCAGGACCGAAGAGGGGTAGGTAGAGAAGGCAAGAGAGCAGGGACTGTCATGCTCCATGTTAATATCTGCCGGTGCCCACTTAGGAGCACCCAGACCTATGGGAAGGGCATGGGCCATTTCATCAGAGTGGGAACCGCCAGAGAGGGTGTCATGGGAACCCAGAGGAGGCACACCCAGCCCAGCACTGGGGCTAGGGCCTGGGGATGGGTGGGCAGGAAGGGGTACCAGAAATAGGCTAGGGGTCACTTAGGCTACGTTTTGAAGGCTCTGAAGGAGTCAGTCCAACCAGGGGAGGAGGGGATGATGGTGTTTCTGGCGGAGACCCCCGCAACCACAGCCCAGCAGCGGGACAGTGTGGTTGGCTACGCTGCAGACCCTCCGATGGGGCTCAAATCCCACTCTTGGGTGGATCTGTGCTTCTGCCTGGCCTGAGAAGGCCTCCAGGGATGCAGCCGCCCCTGGAGACTATTCTCCTTGGCCTCCCTGGATTGGGCTTGGGGCTGGAGGAGGTCAGTACACAGCGAATGGGCAGTGGGTGGATGAGTGGCTGGGTAGGGCTGGCCCCTCCCCCAGTGTAGGAAGGAGAGACCCCAACCGACTCTGTGTCCACAGCATTCGAGACCCGCTGCCCGAATGGGAAGAAGGTGATTCCGTACAAGAGGGCAAAGCTGGAGAAGTGGGCCCCGTACCTCAACCGCAATGGCCTTGTGAGCCGCCTCACCACCTATGAGGACCTGGAGTGTAAGGGAGATTGCTCTGGCCATGGGTCCAGGCCAGCCCAGGGTGGGGGAAGCTTCTGCGCTCTCTGTGGGCATTGCTGGCCTCCGTGTGCCTGGAATAAGTGGCGGGGGTGGGGGGTGGGGTTAAGTCTAGGGGAGCTGGCCCGGCTGCAGCAAGCGCCCATCGGCCCCACAGGTACCAATATCTTGGAGATAAAGGAGTGGTACCAGAGCCGGGAGGACATGCTGGAGCTGAAGCACATAAACAAGACCACAGGCCTGAAGACAGACTACTTCAAGCCCGGCCACCCCCACGCTCTGCGAGGTGGGTGGGTCCTCTTTCCTGGGCTGGCCAGGAGCCCGGGCTGGGGCCTGACACACCCTTTGGCAGGTGGTATGCTGTGGGAGGATCCAGCATACATCTTACACAGGCGTTCTTGGGCGGCAAGCAGTGGAAGCGCCCTGCCTCCCTCAGCAAACCAATGTGTGGGAGGTCAGGGAAAGCTCAGCAAAATCCAAGGAAACGTGACAAATGCGCCTCAAGCCACGGCCGCATGCCGCTTCTGTGGCTGGAATCAGGCAGGAACCTCACCGTGAGGTCACACGGTGGAGGCCACATTTAAAGGAGGCAGGGCCGGGCATAGGGGCTCACACCTGTAATCCCAGCACATTGGGAGGCCAATGTGGGCAGAATGGTTCAAGACCAGCCTGGGCTATATGGTGAAATCCCATCTCTCCAAAAAAATACAAAAATTATCCAGGCATGATGGCACTGCTTATGATCTCAGCTACTCAGGAGACTGAGGCAGGAGAATCACTTTAAGCCCAGGAAGTCAAGGCTACAGAGAGCCGAGATTATGCCACTGTGCTCCAGCCTGGGTGACACAGCGAGATCCTGTCTCAAGAAAAAAAAAAAAAAAAAAAAAAAATCCTGACCAAGAAATTTACAAAAGAAGCATAGGGCTAATGTACCTTTTAAAAATGATCAACCTCGGCTGGGCATGGTGGCTCATGCCTGTAATCCCAACACTTTGGGAGGCCAAGGCAGGTAGATCACCTGAGGTCAGGAGTTCAAAACCAGCCTGGCCAACATGGTGAAAACCTGTCTCTCTCTAGAAAAAAAAAAAAAAAAAAAAAAGGATCAACCTCATTTGGTAGTTGATAAAAAAATAAAACTAATAAGGTCCCTAACCAATAAGGGACCATCTTATAACCCTCTTGTTGGCAAAGATGAAAAAAATGGTCATACTGGGTATGAACAAGTATGGGAGCAACAGTCGCTCTTTCTCACTGTTGATGGTATAACAAATTGGAAATTTTCTGGAGGGCCTTTGGGCAAAATATTGATAATGACCTTAAAACGTGTACACTTTTGACTGTGCATGGTGGCTCACACCTGTAATCCCAGCACTTTGGGAGGCCAAGGTGGTTGGATCACCTGAGGTCAGGAATTTGATACCAGCCTGACCAATATGGTGAAACCCCATCTCTACTAAAAATACAAAAATTAGCCGGGTGTGGTGGCGGTGCCTGTAGTCCCAGCTACTTGGGAGGCTGAGACAGGAGAATTGCTTGAACTCAGGAGGCGGAGATTGCAGTGAGCTGAGATTATGCCACTGCACTCCAGCCTGGGTGACAGAGTAAGACTCTGTCTCAAAAAAAAAAAAAAAAAATGTGTACACTTTTGGACCCAGCAATTCTGCTGAGAATTTATTCTTAGCTAATAAAGGACAAGAACAAAAAATGCACGATGCAGATGTTCATCGTGGTGTTGGTGATAATCAGAAAAAGTTGCACACAACCTAAACACCCCGCAATAGGGGGCTGGTTCCATAGCTAATCTCATCCATAATGCGGAGCTGTCTTCTCCCTGGGCCTGGGGTTGGGTGATCAAGCCTGCAGCCACATAGTTCCTAGTGCTCAGGAAGCTGTCTCCTCCCATCTCCCACTCCCCACCCAGTGCACTCGTACAAGTCCATGCAACCCGAGATGGACCGTGTCATTGAGTTTTATGAAACGGCCCGTGTGGATGGCCTGATAAAGCGGGAGGAGACACCCGGGACAATGACAGAGTACTACCAAGGACGCTCAGACTTCCTCTCCTACCGCCATGCCGACTTCGGACCCCGAGTCAAGAAGCTCACTCTGAGCAGCACAGAGTCAAACCCCCGACCCATTGTGGTAAGAGATTGCCGGGGCTGGGGACAGGTCTCTCTCCTTCTCTGGCAGCTGATGTCACCTCTGAATGGTGAGAGCCCTGGCTTTGGGTGGCATCAAGGCCTGAGACATATCCAAGGGCACCAAGCATGGGAGACTCTGTCTCAAAACACACACACACACACACACACACACACACACACACACACACACACACACAAAACGTGTACAGTTTGGTTCCAGCAATCCCACTGCTGAGAATTTATTCTTAGCAAATAAGAATTCTTATTTTTAACAAATAAGTTATTCAGTGATGAACCAAGCATTTTGCCAAATGTATTTAGCTGCTATGAAGAAATACCTGAGACTGGGCATGGCTGGGGAACCCTCAGGAAATTTACAATCATGGCAGAAGGCACCTTTTCACTGGGCAGCAGGAGTGAGAACAAGTGCTGAGCAAAGAGGAAGCTGCTTACAAAACCATCAGGTCTTGGGAGAACTCACTATCAGGAGAACAGCATGAGGGAACCACCCCCATGATTCAATTACCTCTGCCCTCGACATATGAGGTTATTACAATTCAAGGTGAGATTTGGGCGGAGACACAGAGCCAAACCATATCACCAAATGCACGATCCTGGGGTTGTCTAGTGCAAGACTGTGCCCTCAACCACGGGGCCAAAGATGTGTTATTTTCTTATTGTTGTAAAAACTACACACTCATGACTACACATTTGGAAAATATGGGAAAATGTAGAGAAAAGCAAAAATATCTCAGAATGCCATCTCTCATATATTACCACGGTTTATAGGTTGGGTTTTGAGAGTTTTTTCTAACTTAATCGAGATCAGGACCCGGGGATTAGAGTCCCTGTATTATCCACTTAACATTAAATTGTCCATTTTCCCCTCCATGCCATTACAAATTGGCAACTGTGTGTAATGGCAGCACGCCAAGAAGCTCTTTCTAGCAGTGGGGAATGTCTAGCGATGGAGTAGGCTGCCTGGAGAGGTGGTGAGCTCCCCGTCTCCTGAGGTAGGCAAGCAGAGTCTTGAAGGAGCTGAGGAGGGGCCCAGCACCACACAGGACTGGAGTGGCCTGGCCCTAAGAACCCACAAAATCCATCCCCACACAAATCCCCAAACGACCCCAGACTCCGCCAGACTCCGGTGTCTTGAACGTCCGTTGCTCCTGCCTGCGGGCATGCACAGAAATCTCCTCTCACACCCTCACCCTGCATGTTCTGGCCTCCCAGAAAATCACAGAGCAGTTCCTCCGCAACCCAGCAAAGCCCGCGGAGGAGGACGTGGCAGAGCGCGTGTTTCTGGTCGCAGAGGAGCGCATCCAGCTGCGCTACCACTGCCGCGAGGACCACATCACCGCCTCCAAGCGCGAGTTCCTGAGGCGCAGCGAGGTGGACAGCAAGGGCAACAAGATCATCATGACGCCCGACATGTGCATCACCTTCGAGGTGGGCCTGGGGGCCACGGCGGGCAGGGGTTGGGTGCAGCTGGAACCGGAGCCCTCCGTCTCATTCCAGTAACTTGGGAGAACCAGGATGGGCACTAGTGAATCCCGGCCAGGAAATTCATCTTCCTCCCTTAGGGAAACCAAAAGTTCCCATTTGGGGAAACTTTCTCTTTGCAGCTGCTCTGAAAATCTTCCCTTTTCCACCAAAAAAGAGAACCCAGCTGGCTAAGACGACTCTTCACGTTCCCCACTCCTGGTCAGGGCAAACCTCAGATCCTAGGGAGTTTCTGTGGTATGGGAAGATTCTCACCACCTCTGAGGGGCTAGTCTTCCTAGTCAAACAAACCCTCACTCTCCTGGCACAGTCCCCAGCTTGTCTGAGCCTTCAGTTCCTCTTTTATTATTATCTGTATTTTTGTAAGTGAGAAAATGGAGGCTCAGAGAGGTTTAGCAACTTGCTCAAGGTCACAGAGCTAGAAAGCGGCAGGGGTAGATTAGAACCCAGGTGATTCTATGCCCCGATCATAGCAGCCTCTGTGTGTCACTGTGGTGGTTGTTGGCCCAGGTGGAGCCCATGGAGCACACCAAGAAGCTGCTCTACCAGTACGAGACCTTGATGCACCTGAAGAAGGAGGAGAAGCTGTCCAGACATCAGGTCTGGGAGTCGGAGCTGGAGGTAGGGTCCTATGGGAGAGTGAGCAGGTGGACGGTGTCTCTGTTTTTGAGATAGTATCTCGCTCTGGCACCTAGGCTGGAATGCAGAGATGCAATTATGGCTCTCCATCCCCAGCTCATATGGTCCTCCCACCTGATCCTCACAGGTAACTGGGACCACCAGAGCACACCAACATACCCAGCTAATTTTTTGTATTTTTTTTTTAAGACAGGGTTTTTCCGTTTTGCCCAGGCTGGTCTCAAACTCCCGAACTCAAGCGATCTGCCCCCCTTGGTTTCCCAAAGAGCTGGGGTTACTGGGGTGGGGGTGTCTTCATCACACCCTGCAATACTTCCCATCTCAGGTGCTGGAGATCCTGAAGCTTCGCGAGGAAGAGGAGGAGGTGCACACACTGACCATCTCCATCTATGACACCAAGCGGAATGAGAAGAGCAAGGAATATCGGGAGGCCATGGTCAGTATCAATCCCTTGTCCCGCCCCCAGCTTTTCCTAGACCACCCTGGCATCAAGGGTGGGGGGGACCATGAGGGATTCTGCTGAAAACTCTCTGTGGGGAATGAGGTTATTGATACCATGAGGTCATCCTTGCTGCTGAGCTGACCATTTCTATGGTTCATCTTAAAGAAAACTTGGGATTTGAGCCAGATCTCGCCCCATCCCCAGGGGCTGTAGCCTAGCCAAGGCCTGTGGTGTATGGGAAAAGAATTAAAATTATATGCCCACCTCCACTCAGGGCTCCCACTGAGGTTGCACCCTGGGCCAGTGGCCCCAGCGAGCTACCCCTGGCTCCAGGCCTGAGCTCTCCTGCTCTGGCACAAGGAGGCATTCAGGTTACACCCTCAGGTTGCAAGTCCCCGCTTGGTTTTCAGGACCAATTTCTTAATCCCTTTCACCAACCAAGTTGAGATTTCTAAAAATACTTTGGGGTTAGTGAGGCACAACGGGGCATCAGATGACTGTTCTCAGATCCCGGGGAGGGGTCGTCCCCCCATGTTTCCAACTTCACTGTCCCCTGTCTGCAGATGTAGGACACAGGCCCCAGGGGGGAAAAGATAAGTGAAGGGAGTTACTGGCAATTTTTAACTAACATCATTAATAACCATTACCATTGACTGAATAAGCATCTACTATGGATTATCAGGCATCAGGCTGTGTGCTTTAAAGACATGATCCTGTCGAATCCTCAGAGAAGGAAACCAAGGCTCAGGTAGAGAGACACACATTTATGGAAGAGAAAAAGAGTTGGCTGTCACCAGGTCCAGAGACCAGCACGTGGGCCCTTCTAAGACCTATCTTGGAGGCGCCATGCACGGGGACCTGGCTGTGAGGTCTGGTTTTGTGCTAGCATGCTGCTGTTACAGAGCTGGTGAAGAGTTCTCTGCAGCCCCTGCTGATCCAGCTGACTGCCCCTCACCATTACAGGAGCGCGTGATGCATGAAGAGCACCTGCGGCAGGTGGAGACCCAGCTGGACTACCTGGCCCCATTCCTGGTCCAGCTCCCGCCAGGAGAGAAACTAACACGCTGGCAGGCAGTACGCCTCAAGGATGAGTGCCTCAGCGACTTCAAGCAGCGGCTCATCAACAAGGCCAACCTCATCCAGGCCCGCTTTGAGAAGGTGCCACCAGTGGCTTGGTTGGGGAGGGGATCTCAGCATCTGCATCCAGAAAATTGGCCCAGGGCTGCCTGCCCACCACCTCACAGGCTTGTGAGGGCCTGAGGAGGGGGATGAATATGTCAGTGCTTGGGGTTTCCAAATGGCTGAGTTGTTCCTCCTCACACTTCTTTATCAAATAGACGAATGGATTGGGGGATGGATGGATGGATGGATGGATGGATGGATGGATGGATGGATAGACAGATGGATGGATAGATAGTTGGATGAACTGGTGGATGGATGTGTAGATGGATTGATAGGTAGATAGATGAATGGATGGGTGGATTGATAGGTGGATAGATGGATGGGTGGATAAATGGATAGGTAGATGGGTAGATGGGTAGGTGGATGAATGGATGGGTGAGTAGATAGATGTATGGGTATATGTATGGACAGGTGGGTGGACAGATGAATGAATGAATGGGTGAGTGGATGGATGGATGGATGGATGGATGGGGAGATGAGTGAGTGGGTGGGTGGATAGATGAGTGGGTGGGTGGTTGGATGGATGAATGGGTGGTGGGTAGATGGATGAATGGGTGGGTAAATGAATGGATGGATGGATGGATGGGTGGGTGGATAGATGGGTGGTTGAATGGATGAGTGGACAGATGGATGGATGAATGGATAGGCAGGGATGGGTGGAGGGATGGGCAGAGGAATAGATTGGTTGGATGGATGCATAGACAGAGGGATGGTACGTTATAACAACTCCTCATCCTTAACCCATTTCTGTTGGTCAAGCACACACCATGTAGTTCCATGCGCTACTAAAATTATGTCACTTAATTTTCACAAGGAGCTCTACAGGGGAGGGGGGAGTACAGTGACTCTCATTTTGTAGACAAGAAATTGCAGGTTCTGAAAATGCCAGTCACTTGTCCAGAGCTACATGGCTGTCTCAGTCTTGACCCCTGCTCTGACCTCATGGACATAACATCCCTATAAACATGACCCCACTGGCTCCCACTCAAGATATTTTGTGGCCCCTGACTCTGTGTCTCTGGCTTGTGTGGGTGGAGACAGTGGGACCAACCATCATAGGGCTGTCTGGTGACCCACGGCATTGCAGCCTGCAGCCTGGGTGAAGCTCAGCCTCATCAGCCCTCCTGCTCTGACCTCCCTATGCCCACAGGAGACCCAGGAGCTGCAGAAGAAGCAGCAGTGGTACCAGGAGAACCAGGTGACGCTGACGCCCGAGGATGAAGACCAGTACCTGAGTTACTGCTCTCAGGCCATGTTCCGCATCCGCATCCTGGAGCAGCGCCTCAATCGGTGAGCAGGCGGGGCAGCCGGAAAGAACCCACTGGGAGGCTGGACCACCAGCTTCGTAACCCCTCATCCTCTCTCCATCCTCCTCTGAATTCAGACACAAGGAACTGGCCCCACTGAAATACCTGGCTCTAGAGGAAAAGCTCCACAAGGACCCACGCCTGGGGGAGCTCCTGAAAATGTTCACTTGATGTCCCTCCTAGGGCTTCAGCCAAAGCTCCCAGAGAAAGGAAACCTCTTCCTAGGGCCTGGCTCCTGTGCTCCCTCTACCCAGCCAATGCCTGTTTATGCAGACACCTGGCCTCACTGCCAGCCCCCCTCTCCCACAGCCCTGTTTGTTCCTGCTTCTCACAATTTTCCCCTAAATAAACACACTCTTTATTTGCCATTTGTGCCTCTCTCTTCACAAGCTCCAGTGGCAGCCTTCTTCTTCCCTTATCTATAGCCTGGGACCACCCACTTCCTCCCCTTGGCCTGTCATTTACTTCCTGTCCTCTGTTGGAATGTCAGGTCTTCACAGCACCTCTGCAGATGGTCCCACAGCCGTCTGCAAACAACTGGTTAGATCTCAATGTGACTAGGGTGGCCCCACTCACAAACTGGGATGGGGAAAGCTAAGATGCATACCCCAGAATTTGAGAGCTAAATCCCAGCTCCTCTTCTTACCAGATACTACTTACCCATCTGTGAAACTGTGTAGCATTATTGCATTAAATAAGACTTATGGCCAGCTGAAGTGGCTTACACCTGTAATCCTAGCATTTAGGGGAGGCTGAGGCAAGAGGATCACTTGAGCTCAGGAGTTTGAGACCAGCCTGGGCAACATAGTGAGACCTCATCTCTTAAAAAAAAAAGAGCCAGCATGGTGGCATGAGCCTGTAGTCCCAGCTACTCAGGAGGCTGAGGCAGGAGGATCACATTCACCTAAGAGGTCAAGACTGCAGTGAGCCATGACTGCACCATCGCACTTTAGCCTGAGCAATAGAGCAAGACCCTGTCTCACACACACACACACAAATGACGTAAATTATAAAGCAGAGAGGCTGGGAATGGTACATAGAAAGCAGTCATTAAATGTTAGCTTAAAATATAGCCAAAAACCACATGAAATGGTTGTCAAATTCATTCGTCATCTGGGAAATGAAATGTCACAATAATGCCCCATTATGAAGAAAATAAAAAGTACTGGTGATGATGAGAAGCAACTGGAACTCCCAAGTAACTTTCTTAGTGAAAGTATAAATCAGTACAACTATTATGGAAAACTGCTTGGCATTATCTACCAAAGCAAAACTATAGACCAACAATTCTATTCCTAGGTTCTACACCAATTCATCATTCATCAAGTGAGAATGATGAACAACTCATCAGAAATGTAGATAGATAGCTGTCTGCCAAAAGGCATGTGCTAGAATGTTTATAGCATTATTGATAATAGCATCATACTTGGAAGCTACCCAAATGCCCATCAAGAGCAGAATGGATACATAAATGGTGGTCTTCAGATATTTCAGGTTGTCTTTAACTGCTTAGGGAGGACTGCTTAGGGAGAATGCTACTGGCATCTAGCGCATACAGGCCAGGGAAGCTGCTAAACATACTACAATGCACAGAACAGCCCCCAGCAGCAAATAATTAGCCCCAAATGCCAAAAATCTTGATGTTATAGAGCGTATTAGTCCATTTTCACACTGCTGACATACCCAAAGACTGGATAATTTGTAAAGAAAAAGAAGTTTAATGGACTCACAGTTCCACATGGCTTGGGAGACCTCACAATCATGGTGGAAGGTGAAAGGCACATCTTACATGGTGGCAGACAAGAGAGAATGAGAATCAAGCAAAAGGGGAAACCCTTATAAAATCATCAGATCTTGTGAGACTTATTCACTACCACGAGAACAGTATGGGGGAGACTGCTCCCATGATTCAACTATCTCCCCCCAGGTCCCTCCCACAACACATGGGAATTATGTAAGCTACAATTCAAGATGAGATTTGGGTGGGGACACAGCCAAACCATATCATAGAGCAATGAAAATGAATGAACTGCAACTATACAGCTACATGCAATGATATGGTTGAACTGTCTAAGTATAATGTCAAAAGATTCAAAACACAAAAGTACATACTGTATGATTCCATTTACATAAAGAATAAAAATAAGCAAAATTAATTGGTGATATTAGAAGTCAGGACAACCCTCACTCTTTGAGTATGAGGATTAGTAAATGGATGTGACTATGGGGCCCTGGGAGGGGATTCTGGTTTTTGGTCATGTTCTGCTTTTTGACCTGGGTGTATTCAGTTTGTAAAAATTCATTAACCTCGTACACTTACAACGTGTTCTCTGGAGTGTTTTTAAGTGTTTGTTGCCATGAATCTAATCAAGCCTTTAGCCCTAACTTAAGAAATTCAAGGGAAGAAATGCATTTAACAAGAAACTTCCATCTAACAAGAACTTCAGGAAATTCAGGTAAATGACACTAAAAGGAACATTCCTAACGTGAGATAATCTACTAGGTAAATGGCCTGCTCTCTTTAAAAGATCGACATCATAAAAATAAAAGATTGGGGACAGAAATAGAAAGAACTTAAAAGAATCAAGTGTGCTAAATCCTGACTGGTTCCTAGTTAGAAAAAAAAAGTCATGAAAGGCTTTGGGATGACTGGGGCTGTGGGTAACCCCCCATATAGGTACCAAGGAAGGAGAGCTAAGCAGAATCCTGGCACAATTAAGACCTGGAGAATATCTTAGTTTATAGTGTTACTACTGAGTTATTTCCCTTTATACAATCCTCTCTATATAATCATATATTAGTTCATAGAATGAGTGCCTAAAGAATATCTTACCACTCAGTTATTTCCATATATATATATATATATATATACAACGATATCAGTTTATAATCGGAGGAATGCCTAGAGCAGACACAGTGCAGAGCATGATTTAAGGGGAAAATAGTTATACCAGGACAAGAACCCATGGCCCAGGTGGCAGCATTCAGTATCATAAAGATATCCACTGTATGGCAGGCTTGGGGCGAGAGCCACTCCTCCTGATAAAGGAGTTGTAGGATCTTGCTCCAGTTCTTGTGGAAGGCTGCCCTCAGACCGGCAATCCACCTTGGTGACTGTGAACTTTATCAGCTCTTGTTACTGTGCTGCTGGAAAAGCATTCCCCTGTAGAACTCATTGGAAGCTGCCAGCAGGTGGCGTAGACCCTGACAGCTCTGTCACTGCTATGTGACTTAAAGCATCCTCCTATAATTCTTCTTAGTAGCTTGCCCATAGATAGAGGTATTGCACACTGCACCCTCTTCACTGCGCACAGCCCACCTCCATGACTCGGTGACCTAATGGGGGTGGACCCTTCCTGCACACGGCCCTTGCCTCGATGACCTAATGGGAATGGGCCCCTTGCTGCACACTGTCTACCTCCTAGCCTAGGTGACCTAATGGGGGTGGACTCCTTGTTTTATTGCTCATGACCCTATCACTATCCTTAAAGATGACTTCACTCACTGCCCTGCCCCCTAACCTATACACAATAAATACACTTCTGGACATTCGGGGCCTCACCTGACTCCACTCATAGGTGGCGTGGCCGCCTGAGCCCAGCTGCATTTTCCTTGTACTTCTGTTTCCTGTCTCTTTATTTCTCAGATCCTGACAGCACAGCATAAGGGACACCCCACGACCCTGTGGGCTATCAGCCCTACATGGAGCCACATGAGTGTGGACGGGGTTGTTAGAGAATTACTAAGTTTTCTTAGCAGTGGTGATACAATGGTTATGTAGGATAAGGGCATTTTTATTTTATTTTATTTTTTTTTGAGACGGAGTCTAGCTCTGTCGCCCAGGCTGGAGTGCAGTGGCACAATCTCAGCTCACTGCAACCTCTGCCTCCAGGTTCAAGCAATTCTCCTGCCTCAGCCTCTTGAGTAGCTGGGATTACCGGCACGTGCGCCACCTCAGCCTCTTGAGTAGACAGGATTACAGGCACGTGCGCCATGTGGCTAATTTTTGTAATTTTAGTAGAGATGGGGTTTCACTGTGTTGGCCAGGCTGACCTCGTGATCCACCCGCCTCTGCCTGCCAAAGTGCTGCGATTACAAGCGTGAGCCACCGTGCCTGGCCAAAGGGCATAATTTTTATTTTTTGAAAGGAGTCCCACTCTGTCACCCAGGCTGGAATGCAGTGGCCCTATCGCAGCGCACTGCAACCTCTGCTTCCCAGGTTTAAGCGATTCTCCTGCCTCAGCCTCCTGAGTAGCTGAGATTACAGGCACGTGCGCTACCACGCCCAGCTAATTTTTTTTATTTTTAGTAGAGGCGGGGTTTCACCATGTTGGCTAGGCTGGTTGCAACTTCTGACCTTAGGTCATCCTCCCTCCTTAGCCTCCCAAAGCGCTGGGATTGCAGGTATGAGCCACCGTGCCTGGCCAAGGGCGTTGTTTTTAAGAGCTACATGCTCAGTATTTGGTGTTGGGGTGAAATGTCGTATCTACAATTTTCAAATGATTCAGAAAAACATACACAAAGCAAATATGCAAACTGTTAACAAGTGCTGGAATCTACGAGGTATCATGATATTGTCTTTTCAAGTTTTCTTGATTTAGTTTTTTTATAATACAAAAGTTGAGGGGAACTGCAGGCTGGATAGTTTTGATCCGATGTTATTCTACCAGTCTAATCTTTTAAAGGTGCCTTATGGTGGCTCACGCATACCCAGCACTTTGGGAGGCTGAGGCGGGTGGATCACCTAAGGTGAAGAATTCAAGACCAGCCTGGCGAACATGGAGAAACCCCATCTCTACTAAAAATACGAAAACTAGCCTTAGCCAGGCGTGGTGGCTGGCACCTGTAGTTCCAGCTACTCGGGAGGCTGAGGCCGTAGAATCATTTGAACCTGGGAAGCAGAGTGGGGACTCCCCAACGCTTTGGCTTTCAGAACAAGGGTTCGAATTCTGGGGCCATGACTTTCTGACCGTGTGATTTTTTTTTTTTACAAGCATCTTAACCCAGGCCTCAGTTTCCTCATCAGTAAAGGGGAACAGGAATTCCTATCCTTTCGGGGTGTGGTGAGTGTTACGTAAGCCCAAGGAGCCCCGACCTGCGGTGAGAGGCTAGAGGCCGAATGGGGGGATTTGAGGGGCTCTAGGTCCCTGGACCAACCTCTGGGCGACAGGGAAGAGGCGGCTGCGGGGCCGAGTCCTTTCTAAGTGGCTATGCGAAGGGCCCTGAGTCGAGGCGGGTTACAGTACTTCCTTGAGCCCACCTAACCCAACATGTCACAAATAAAGCCGGCCTTTCTCGGATTCCCAGATTGCGGCCACTTGGAGCAGCAGCCCCTTGCCCACGCATCCCTTCGCCGGCGGCGGCTGCAGGGGCAGCACTC